TTTTTAAGATTAAGATTTTTGTGAATATGAACATTTTTCAATGTACAATGTTTAAAATAATGCATGTTTTTTAGTGTCTATATAGTCAAATTTAGTAACATGAGACGTGATTTGACTCCAGCTTAACGACTGAACCCAAACATGTCACGGTCTTTACCCGATTCGCGGCTCTCTGAGGATCATGCGTGTCTTTCTCAGGGTTTCTCTCTGCTGAAGTCTGGCTGTGGGTTTACGACTGTAATATTTCCCACGGTAAACAGCGAGTGACTGTAGCGTAGCGGCGTCTGACGGGATAAAGGGCAAGTGGAAATTAAAGAGCAGAAGGGAATATTTCCCGGATCTGGAAGTCTTGTGTTCTCCACCTGTTATCCTGTTATCCGCTGTTGTTCTGCTGTGTTTAGCGCTTCGCTCCACTGTCCTTTTACAGGCATTCCCAAAATACATCCCAGAAATACATCTGACTAAATCTGAATCCCTGAGGGAGTGTAAACTAGGCCGGATCTGGTGGAGATCCGCACGGGTTCCTCACGGACACACGCTGGTATTTATATCAGGCCTCCCTCTCTAATTAACTGCTAATTAACTTTTGATAAGCTGAGGGATGCTGCATTTAGGTTGAGCTCAGTCCTACTTTAGCAGGTTCAGCTGGTCCGCTCTGAGGTCTGGTCCACACTAACACGCTTTCATTTGAAACGCATCTATTCTCTCCCGACACTGAGACCTGATTTGATGTCACTATGATGCAAAATGAACTTTTAAACTTCACTTTTAAAACCCCTAACTTTTAAAAAATGTGAATGCGGAAAAACGTGGGGTCCGTCTAGTGCGTTTACATTGAAACTGATGGAAAAGTAGTGCAGTGGAATGAAAAAATAAGGTGTTGCCAGAGATTCCGAGGCCCCACCCCCTTCTGAAAAAGGGGCGGGGAGGAGCAGCTCATTTGCATTTAAAGAAACAGACATGAAAACAGTGGGCACCCAATAAATGGGCATTTAATAATAAATCTTCTGAGGTTATTTTGAACTGAAACCTCACGACACATTTTAGGGACACGTGTATTAGGTATATTTTGTAAGAAGGGGCATTTTAGGTTTTTCATTTTTTTTCCTCTCAAAATGAATCTCATATGGCTATTGACTTCATTTTAGTAATCTTAGTTTTGATTTTTATTCTTGTAACTTTTTTCCATGAAAAGAGTTTGACTTCATCTCATATTGCAACAATCTTAGTTTATACTTGTAATGCACAGCTTTAGTCTCTCAATTATGACTATTTTCGTAATCTTTATTTAGATTTTTTTGTAATTTAGATTTTTTTTTATTTAAAAAAATTCCCAAAAGCATGGTTAGCCAACTTTGGTCTCCAGATCCGTTGAATTGTGCTGGAAAAGGCAGAACTTTGTGAAACACAATCAAATCATGAATGAATCGTTCAGGAGTAGTGGTGCAACGGATCATCACTGATCCGTGATCCGTTCGGATCAATGTCTTCGGTTCGGCACACACGTGATCCGCGGATTGATTATGAAAAAACAAAACAAAAAAAAACGTGCGCATGTTGTTCAGTCAACGCACAGCTTCGTCATAGGCTAGCGAGCGGAGGAACGGAGAAGCTTGAACGCCCCGCGTCATTTCAGGGCTCCAGACCAGACTGCGACCAAAATTTGAGAGTGTGCGACTGAATTTTACATCCAGTCGCACATGTGCGACCAGTAAATTTGCCACACGTTAAACGCATGGTAAAGCGGCGCGTCAATGAATCCGTGACAAGAATAGCGCGCGTAAACATCTGTGGGAGGGAGACGGAGACAAATATCACAACCTGATGTGCGTCTGAGCAATCAGCGATCTATCGACTCGTTAGTCGTTACCTAGCAGCGAATGCAAACAAAATGAAAGTGGAACGAAAATACGCTACTCATTTATGATTAGGACTGTGGTCGGAGCAGCAGCAGCGATCCATTGACAAAATAAAGCCCCGAACTTGACAGTCGCGGGCCGATCTCGCTCACGCAACACTGTTACTAGGAGATCCAGTGAAGAAATCCATTGAATTCGCCTCAGAATTAATAACATCAACACCACGAGATCCAGTGAGAAACACCTAAACCAGCGTTATAAACCATATCAGATCAAACAGAGCTGACGTGGAAACCAGGAGAAACACTTATAGAAGGCTTTCAGTCCACAAATCAGCCTATATATGATAATGTGTAAGAAATAGTCAAATGCTTACAAGTAGCCTACTACACATCTTTTCCCAGCACTTTAATAATATCATAAATAAATGTTTTATTTTTTTGAATTTTTTTATGTGATTACCAACAAATTTTTTGTTTATCCTTTAAAGATTGTCCTAAAATGAAAAAAGTACGATGATATTTTCACTACTTTTATTAATTGATATTAAGACATTATAAATGATAATAACTAAGTTAATTTCATCTACACCCTAAATTAAGCTTAGTGATTTATTGTCAGCCCCAGTGCTACCAGATTTTTTTTTTTTTTTTTTTTTTTTTGTAGAACTCGCTGTGAGTTCTCATTTGAGGTGATGCTGCCCTCAACTTTCAGTCTGGAACCCTGTGAAGTTAAAATAAAACAGAATATCATAATGTTAAGTCTATTTATTATTAAAGAATTTGTCAGTAGGCTATATTACAGTTATTTTGGGGGAAATTTTTTTTTTTTTTTTTTTTTTTTTGCTGATCCGAAAAATGATCCAATCCGTGACCCTGATCCGAGAAACGATCCGATCCGTGAGTTTTTTTGATCCGTTGCACCCCTATTCAGGAGTAGTCACAGATTCAAATGATCTAGACAGAGCAATGATTCACTGAATTCACAAGTGACTCATAAAGAGCTGAGAACAGGAGTTCCTTGAAGTGTTGTTCAAATGATATAAAACTAGCATGTTTGCAAAGTGTTCGTCTTAAAATGTTTTTTCTGTCTGTTTTTATTTTATATTTTTATATTTGTTTATTTACAATAGAGTCATTATTCAGATCAGTTTAGTTCAGTGTTGATTCATTACAAGTTCAGTTCTTAAAAATGTAATGTTCTCCGTAGGGTCGGGCCAGGGTTATGGGATAGATTTAATGTTTGTGCAGTATAGTGTTAATTTTACCAGCCATTTTTAAATTTAGTTTCAGTTTTAGTCCAGTTTCAGCATCGCTTATTAGTTTTTTATCACATTTAGTCGACATCATCCCATTTTTATTTAGTCTAGTTTTAGTCGACTATAAGTCGAGCATTTTAGTCTTTATTTTAGTCCAAGAAAACATAATTTTATTCGTTTAGTTTTAGTCAAAAAAAAAACTGTCAACATTTTAGTCTAGTTTTAGTCAGGACATCATTTTAACCTTTTACTTTTTTGTCAGCAGATAATATTTAACATTTCCTAAAATTATTTCACATTTCAACATTTTCTCTCATCTTTTTGATAAAAAAAAAAACACAATTTTAAGGAACACATGCAGACATGGAAGATGTTCTGACAATATTTGCATATTTATTTTGAACATTGTTAAGGTTCAAAGACACAAACACAAATGCTTGCATTAAAACAAATAAAATACACCTGACAAAGGAAACAAATAAATAAAATAAAGTGTATTATGAACTTAACACAAGTGCTGGCTGTTTAAAGCTAGTTCACATAGAATAATAAAATAAATAGATTTGAGGTCAATGTTGTGAAGAAAAAAAAACCTCCAACTGATACAACAAAAGTGCTTTCCTGCCAGCTAGTTCACATGGTATATAAAGGTACAGTATTTAAGATGAAACAAGGCATAGATTGCTAGAACGTATGAAATCTTGTATGAAATAACTAATCTTTTTAAAACGTCTGTCTGCTTTAATCAAATTTAACTGAAACCCTAGTTGCCCGGCCAGTATAACATATCTAAGTTAGCATAAATTTAACTTCACATACAATTCTATCAACAAGTGGCTACGGTCGCTACGTGCTAAGAAGCTAACGCAACATAGCCAGCCTGGATACTAAATGCTATGAAAGTTAGCCATCATTAGTTAGTTTATCATTGTAACAAAATGTGTCCATATATCACGTCTCTTCTTTCTCCCGAGCCCCGTGCAAAGCATGTTTTACTTTTAACCTGTCGCCGCCGCCTCACCGTGAATCCAGCTCCTGTCTGCTCCATGTGTTGTGTCGGCTACTCTGACTGTGCCCGCCCGCTCCAGGTTTGAACGTGGGTGTGTGTGGCGGAAGAGCTGACGCGGAGGAGGCGGAGAAGGAGACAGGATTTGACAAAACCATATCATATAATAATATGTAATTTTCGTCTCGTCTTTGTTCGTGAACTAAAATGTCCATAGATTTTAGCCCAGTCTTTATTTACCGAACTGCATTTTCGTCTCGTCTTTATTAGTCTACGAAAATTATTTCTGATTTAGTCCCAGTTATTGTTTATTAGTGGGGATTTTAGTCTCGTCTCGTCTAGTTTTCGTTCGGTGAAAAATGTGCGTTGACGAAAATATTTTCGTTTAGTTTTCGTTAACGAAATTAACACTAGTGCAGTACAAAAGTCATTATGTCTATGGAGAGTCCTCATAGAACACAAACTCAATGTGTGTGTGTGTGTGTGTGTGTGTGTGTGACTACAGGACATATTTAGAGTCCAGTGTATTCCCCTCTGTCCATCTGTCAGGGTTCAGTGTGTGTGTCCTTATATAGGCTTATGTTAGTGGGTAGAGTGTGTGTGTGTGAGAGAGAGAGAGAGAGAGTGTGAGAGAGAGTGTGTGTGTGAGAGCATCAGTGAGTGAATGTGGAGTTTGAGCTCCACACACACACACACACACACACTGACTAACACACCTGTATGTATCAGACTGACGGTAATGTTTATTGTAGTGTAGGGTTGTGCGCTCTCTCATGTGCAGAGTGTGTCAGTGATTGGTTTCGAGATGCTGTTATATTAGAATAATAGTTCAACACTGGTGCTGCATCCCTGACTGAACGTGTGTTTCCTCTTCCAGCCGGAGAACCTGCAGAAGCTGTGGCTGCGCGAGTTCTGCCAGGTAAGACCCTCCGCCGGGATCTGTGTGATATAAAATACATAAAAGAATATTTGGAGTTCATTATGCAGGATTGGTGTTGTTTTAGGGTTGTGTACCGATATTAGGGCTGGAACAGATCGCAGTTGATCGTGATCCGCGCGGATTACACGCGTAATGCGCTGATAAAAATAAAATAAAAACTAAAATATCGCAATGCCATTTTTTACCAATATCGTGCAGCCCTAGTTCACGCGTATAACAAGACGCGAATTTGACGCGCGGTTCACGTCTGGTGTGAACGCAGCATTAAAGGAGTGATTGTGATTTACTCACCCCCATGTCATCCAAGATGTCCATGTCTTTCTTTCCTCAGTCGAAAAGAAATGAAGGTTTTTGATGACAACATTCCAGGATTTTTCTTCTTATAATGGACTTCAATGGGGTCCAACCGAGGTCCAAACGACAGTTAATAACAGTTTCAGATGCAGCTTCAAATGTCTTTAAACGACTCCAGACGATGAATAAGGGTCTTATCATGCGAAACGATCGCTTATTTCAAAGCTTATTCCAAAAATGTAACTTTTCTAAGGACAAATGCTAGCCTTGCTCTATTCTGTGAGGCGCGTTTGTAACGTCACGTAATACGTAATTACGTTCAAAAGGTCACGGGCGACGTAGCCAGAAGTACAGAGTCAGTGTTTACAAGTTGAACACATAGGTTGAACGTGCAAACCAACTCAAACGCCGTTTACAAAAAAGGAATTAAAAGGTAAAACAACGATGTCGGACGATTTTGATTCTGTACTTCCGGCTACGTCGCCCGTGACCTTTTGAACGTAATTACGTATTACGTGACGTTACAAACGCGCCTCACAGAATAGAGCAAGGCTAGCATTTGTCCTTAGAAAAGTTACCTTTTTGGAATAAGTTTTGAAATAACCGATCGTTTCGCATGATAAGACCCTTATTCATCGTCTGGTGTCGTTTAAAGACATTTGAAGCTGCATCTGAAACTGTTATTAACTGTCGTTTGGACCTCGGTTGGACCTGGTTCCCATTGAAGTCCATTATAAGGAGAAAAATCCTGGAATGTTTTCATCAAAAACCTTAATTTCTTTTCGACTGAGGAAAGAAAGACATGGACCTCTTAGATGACATGGGGGTGAGTAATTTATCAGCAAAAGTTTTTTCAAAAGTGAACTAATCCTTTAATGTCTGATGTCGGGTTACACTTGAAGCAAATCATCTACACAGTTATCTAGATATCCTATATAATGAACGAGAATTTAATTGTAATAATAATAATTTTGGCATAAGGTTTATTAGCGTTAGGCTATAGCCTGAAAGGTCTGATTTAGCCTTTAACACGTTATTTTTTTCGCATTTGACTTCATGATTTTTTTTTTATTAATTTTTTGTGGTAGACTAAAGACTAATGACAGTCTGAGCAACATGACATCATGACTTTTGCGTAAACATGCACGCCAATTTCCGCGTGTATGTCTACGCCATTAACGTCCGCGTGATTCCGCGTGTCTGTACACACCGTCAAATGCGAAACAAAGCAAAATGTAGATCTACATCTGGGGAGCGATCTTTTTTATTTTTTATTTTTTTTATTTCTAGGATGGTAAGGGAACAGTCATAAATGCCATTAACCCCAGTGACGGGTAGATTAAGTCAACGGCGTTCATAAACACACTGAAAAGCGATTATGCGTCTTGATAGCACGCCAAAAATGGAAATACGAATTGGCGGGTCATACACACGCTACTTCATGAGATCAGTCTGGTCTGTTGATCTTTGAAAAGAAATCTGTTTGGTTCAGGTCAACAAATAAACTGCATAAACTGCTTTTATCTAGATTTACATCCTCCTGTCTCGGGGGTCATGGTGTCTCGTACACACAGATTCAGCGGCTGCTGCACCACACGATGATAACTTTACTTAACAAAAAGTAATCTACACGCTTAGATTACAAAATCAGTTTGCCGTGTGTGTGTTTAAAAAAAAAAAATCATATAAAATTGAATAAAACGTGTCTGTGGTAAACATGGGCAAAATAGATATTTTAATATCTTCTATTAATTTTTCTCTCTCTCTGTGTCTCACACACAGACGGTTCAGGCTCACAGGCCTCAGTTTGTGGCGGTTCACTGTCAGGAGGTCGGCGGGAAGAACTACGAAGCCTCCATGACACACGTGGACAGTTTCATCAAGTGAGTCCTCGAGTGAATCCATCAGGATCTGTCACTCATCCGGTTCCTGATCAAACACTTGCCTTTCCATATGGTGCCATTATTAAAGGCTGTCAGAGCCAATATTTACACACACACCTGTGCACTTGTACAGCACTTGCACATATAACGAAATTTAGTCTCTCATTCCAAAAGTGTAAATATAAACTAATGTAAACAAATGAGACTGAATGTAAATTTGTGGCAAATAATATATGCAAGCAAATACTGTTACCTGATATTTAAATGCCAATACATGAAGAGTTCAGATGCAAAAGCCTCTAAATGCCATTTTAAATTGTCTTCTTTAATGATGATTTTGATCAAACTTCAGTAATTTCACTTAAATAACAATTAATAGGTAATTATCATTGCCATTTAAGTGAAATCACTGAACTTAAATATACAAGCTTGATAAAAATCATCATTAAAGAAGAAAATTTCAAATGGCATTTAGAGGCTTTTGCATCTGAACTCTTCATATACAGAAATTTCTAAGAAAAATAATAACACATTTTATGTTAACATTTAAATCTATTTAAAATATGATATGATATTTAAATGCCAGGGCAGAAATGTAATTTTAATGTAAAATTATTTTTTTATTACCTTTGTGCATTGGCATTTTAATATCAGGTAACAATATTTGGAATAGGTTTAAAGTTCATAGTTATAGAATGCAATTTTGTCTCATTAAAAAAGTACACACACACAAACCCATTACAAAAATATAAATATAAACTAATGTAAACAAATGGTACAGAATGTAAATATAAACAGTGCAAAAAATAAATAAATATGTACAACCTGTGTGCAAACATCGCCACCTCGAGGAATAAATTTAAATTGCAGTCATCAGAGATTCAGTTATTGTTATGCAGAAAAAATATACTTGCACTATTACATACTTCCAGTCATTAGCGACCCTATGAACATTTTTCACACATACACACACTCACTTTTTACAGTCATATAATGGTTTGGATCTTGCTCATCTGCCCATAACGCTGCAGCTTCCCTGTGATATATGCGTGACTGACTGTAGATGCTCCAGAAGCTCATGTTGTGTGTTTGTGTGTTTGTTGTCGTCAGAGAGCTTCTGTCCAGCGACGCCATGAAGGACTACAACCGTGCACGAGTTTACCTCGACAAGAACTACAAATCCCAGGAGCAGTTCACAGTGAGTCTGTTCATGTGTCTGAACACCAGGGGGCGCCACCGCTCTGTATCTGTGATGATGTGCTCAGGATTCACAGTCGATGCCTTGTCAAAACACACACACTTGCGTTCTTGGCCACTTGAGAGCGTGGGCGCACGACAAAGTAAGTGTGCAAGACCGTCCCATCACGAGAGGTCGAGGAAAACATTCAACTGTGATGTAAATTAGTTAGATATAAATAAATTGGTAGTACAAACATAGTGTTGCACATTTTATTGGTGCAAAGATGAGTTTATCACTGAATTAGAAGCACCACAATTTTAAATTAGTGTCTTCACACACGAAATAGCGTGTGTGTGTGTGTGTTTGGAGAAGGCATGGATATGAGATCTGGAAGGTTTGCTTGTGTTGTAAAGCTGGTGTTGGACCTGATCGACTGTGTTCAGATCAAACCTGCTCGTGCATCCCTCTATTACCTTCGTAGTGAAGTCGCGTCGCCTCCATGTGTTCTGTGTTTATGAATGAGCCACATCGGGATAATATCAGTTATGGACTCAACTTTTAGTCTCATAAAAGGTCATTTCCTTCTTATCTTCTGTGGGTAAATCCATTTGATTGTAGTTTAAATGAGAAATATTGCAGTGCTTTGGTCAACAAATAACAAGTTTAATAGCATTGCGTTACATCAAGGGTCAAATAAAACTTAAATAACGCATTAAAGTTAAAGCTTACGCTGTACAGGTCTGATATAAAGAGTGTTTTTGATCAGGCGGAGGAAAAAAGAGAGTTTTAGGGAAGTTGAGCCGCTCGTCAGAGATCGGTCCTCAGAGTCAGGAAGCGTTCCTGCTACGGCCACTAGAGGGAAGCAAAAGCCCAGGAATCACCCAGAGTTCAGCAGGAGGAAGTGAAACTTGTGGCGGGTTGTTTGCTGATGCTCAGTGTTGGGTCCGTTACCCTAAACAAGTGATTATTAACTACTGATTACGTCTTTAACTATTACTATAATTACTCTCTCTAACAAGTGTTGCATTGCTTATTACTTTCTCATCTACCACGATCAGCGAACAATAAAAATAAAAAACCTTTCTAAATGAACCTTATAAGATTGCATATATTATTCATTAAATGAAGAAGTAAATGAAACTTAATTGACTAGATCAGTTATTCTAGATGATCATATTTTGGCCGGTTGTTTGCTGATGATCAGTGTTTAAGCAATTAATCACTATCTTTAACAGTGGAACTAATACTGTACTAATTACTCTAAAAAACATAATATTAATAATAATACATTTATTTTGTATAGCACCTTTAAAATTGCATTATCAAAGTGCTTTACAACACACACAAGCACAACTATATAAATAAAAAAAAAAAAGATATAACTAAAAAAACAACAACAAATTAAGTCGATTAAAAGCAGTCTTGAAATAAAGTTTTAAGACTTGATTTAAATGCAATGCAATACAAGAACAGACGTGAAAAATCTCTTTTAGTTCTTAAAAAAAACCCAATGTAAAGTTGCATGTATTATTCTTGAACTAATCAAAGTATTTAAAGGGAGATGGTTAATTAATAAACAAATTTTTATGTTAAATCAACTATTGTTTTATATAGAATTGTTCTATATTCTAATGCAATTTAAATATTTAATGCATTTCACTCTAATTAAATTACAGAAAAATTCAATTCCAATTATCATAAATGTTATATGATGCTGAATGGATCATTCATTTACATCAAATATGAATATATGGATAATATTATTAAATCTAAAACATACATTTATTGCAGACGTTGAGCATCTTCTGTTTTCCACATCTAAACATACTTAACTCAAGATACATTTACTGGAGAAGAAGCAGAATTACTGAAGATATTACGTTTTCTGAGATTAAAACAATAAAACAAATATTTGCAACATATTCTTCTTTTCTCTTTGATTTGAGAGTATTTTTCTGACTCCGCTATTTGTCCACATTTCAAGCACAGACTCGCTTCATGTTGCATCGGTTTCTCATAAAACAAGATTTATCTAATGTCTGTTTCTCCAGTAAAGGCCTCTTGATGTAAGAACGTTTCTGTATTAGTGCTGGAAAACGAGACCGAAACGCTGAGGAAGAGGAGGATTGTCTGCAAAAGATGCACATAAACTAATGATAAGTGACGTGTTATGACAGTCTTTGTGTTTGAGTGGAGTTGAATGTGATCGAGTTTACGGTGGTTCAGACAGTCAATAAATCTGCGCTCAGACAGACACGTGCCATTTAACCGGACACACACGCTTGCGTTTGTTTTGCTCGGGTAACTGTTTGTTTGCTCGAGATGTCAATTTTCAGATAATGTGAGTTGAGAGACACAGACAGTGTGTGTCCCGTCCTGAGAGAGAGAACGGCTCTTGCAATATGAAAGATATGTTTGTGCAATATACTCTGTGTGTGTGTAATATATGTATATGTTATATGTATTATGTAAATGTATGCATATATACACACTCTAAACAAACTGAGTTAAAAACAACCCAATGGCTGGGTCATGTTGGACAGAATACATGTTGGGTTCATTTTACCTTGCAAAATGGGTTGTTTATTTAACCCAGCATAATGGGTTGATTTAACTATAGCTTTACTATTAATGTTTACTACAGAACCAGCTTTTTATTTTTTTTTACTTCATACATGAATTAATGTCTGTGGATTAAACCCTCTAAACTTTTTGAAAATACTCTATACAACCAATGGTTTGCATGATAATTCCTTTAATTTTTTTTATCATATTTTAAATTATTTTAATACATATTGCAAATATTTAAGTTCATTTAACAAATATAAGAAGTAAAAAATAAAGCTTTATGTAATTGAGTGTATTGTCCCAGTCTCTGATGTGCCGTTTCCACTGTAACACACTGGATCCGGCGCCGGCGCTCGTGTCGTGTTCAGCGGAGGAACTGATCACTTCAGACTCGGAGCCCAATGTGCTGTAACGGCCCATAAACAATCAGTGTACAGTTCTGATCACAAATTTGAACTTTCTAAGCATTAAATCCTGTATCTTTTTAAAAATAAAATCATAATATTATGTAAGGCACCAGGCGTTTCCGTCATGCAAAAAACTTGTAGGCGACTCACTTCGCGCCCCTGCCTGAAGAGTTCACAAAAAAGCCTGCAATAAATAACCCAACCCTTGGGTTACATCACGTCCGACCTCAGATCTGGGTAACAGACAAGAAAGAACAAGAAAACTACCCAAACACTGGATTGTTACGTCTGATTCAGGATCTGGGTTGCAGAAAAACTACCCAAACACTGGGTTGTTGCGTCTGAACCAGGATCTGGGTTACACGAAAACTACCCAAACACTGGGTTGTCACGTCTGAGCCAGGATCTGGGTTACACAAAAACTACCCAAACACTGGGTTGTCACAGATTCTGGGTTACACAAGAACTACCCAAACACTGGGTTGTCATGTCTGACCCAGGATCTGGGTTACACAAAAACTACCCAAACACTGGGTTGTTACGTCTGACCCAGGATCTGGGTTACACAAAAACTACCCAAACACTGGGTTGTCACAGATTCTGGGTTACACAAGAACTACCCAAACACTGGGTTGTCATGTCTGACCCAGGATCTGGGTTACACAAAAACTACCCAAACACTGGGTTGTCACAGATTCTGGGTTACACAAGAACTACCCAAACACTGGGTTGTCATGTCTGACCCAGGATCTGGGTTACACAAAAACTACCCAAACACTGGGTTGTTGTGTCTGACCCAGAATCTGGGCAACACAAAAACTACCCAAACACTGGGTTGTCACGTCTGACCAGATGCTGAGTAACACAAAAACTACCCAAACTCTGGGTTGTCACGTCTACACAAAAACTACCCAAACACTGGGTCATCATGTCTGACCCAGGATCTGGGTTACACAAAAACTACACTCTAAAAAATGCTGGGTTGTTTTAACCCAATTTTGGGTCAAATATGGACAAACCCGAAATGTTGGGTTAAAAATGTAATGTAAAAATTTAACCCAACGGCTGGGTTAGTCCATATTTGACCCAAAGTTGGGTTAAAACAACCCCGCATTTTTTAGAGTGTACCCAAACACTGGGTTGTTACGTCTGACCCAGGATCTGGGTTACACAAATACTACCCAAACTCTGGGTTGTCACATCTGACCCAGGATCTGGGTTACACAAAATCTACCCAAACACTGGGTTATCATGTCTGACCCAGGATCTGGGTTACACAAAAACTACCCAAACACTGGGTCTTTACATCTGACCCAGGATCTGGGTTACACAAAAACTACCCAAACACTGGGTTATCACGTCTGACCCAGGATCTGGGTTACACAAAAACTACCCAAACACTGGGTTGTCACAGATTCTGGGTTACACAAAAACTACCCAAACACTGGGTTGTCATGTCTGACCCAGGATCTGGGTTACCCAAAAACTACCCAAACACTGGGTTGTCACGTCTGACCAGATGCTGAGTAACACAAAAACTACCCAAACTCTGGGTTGTCACATCTGACCCAGGATCTGGGTTACACAAAAACTACCCAAACACTGGGTTATCACGTCTGATTCAAGATCTGGGTTACACAAAAACTACCCAAACACTGGGTTATCACGTCTGATTCAAGATCTGGGTTACACAAAAACTACCCAAACACTGGGTTATCACGTCTGACCCAGGATCTGGGTTACACAAAAACTACCCAAACACTGGGTTGTCATGTCTGACCCAGGATCTGGGTTACACAAAAACTACCCAAACTCTGGGTTGTCACGTCTGACCCAGGATCTGGGTTACACAAAAACTACCCAAACACTGAAAAAAAAAAAAATAACAAAAGAAATTGACCCAAAAAGCTCAGGGTTAGGGGAAAATAAAATTGTCGACGATTTTAGAGTATAATGTCTTTTGTGTCAATGAATTGCAACCTTTGTTTGTTCTGGGTTTAATATTGCAGGATAACGAGTGATTCATTTTTAAATGATTCCTCT